TATGTTTATGGAATAGACTGTGGTGATGGCTTCATGGGTGTATACCTATCTCCAAACTCATCATGTTGCATGCATTAAATATGTACAGCTTTTTGTGTGTCAATAATACCTCAGTAAAATGGTTTTTACAAAGTGGTAAATAAGGTGGGGCGGGGAGGGAACTGACCTCGTTCCTCTTAAAATTCCTGCCTGGGTTTCTTATTGTGGTGATGGTACAGCCAAAGGGCATACCTACAATCTGAACTGCACAATAACAATATGATATTATAACTCTGTGGCACTTTAGTTTGAAATGTTATCCTTTTCTTACATGTATAAATACTCTCATTTATCTTAACTAATATATAACCCTGTCAGTTAGATGGAGCAAAGAGGAGGAAACATGTTCAGAGAGGTTATTTGTCCAAGGTCATAAATATGTGAATAGCCAATAGGCTCCCAGCTTTACTCCTGACTTCTAGTCTGACCCTTTCTACTATACTAAGCTGATATTTTTCTGGAAGTGTTTCATTTGTGAGTATGTCTTGTCTTCACAACGAGTCTATGAACGTTTGGAAGGCAGGGATCACATATTACTCACCTCTGTATTCCTTGAAGCAGCAACCATAGAGTCTTGCATGAAGCACTCAATTATTTCTGGTTAATTGGTTAGCCAATATATCCACTCTGTCTTGTTCCCAATACGGGATATCATTTATCTGTAACTTCTAAGTGTCCATTTTTAATCTTTAATTTTAATAAACTTTTGCTGGGTGTAAAAATACATTTGCAAGGTACTCTGCTAGGCCCTGCTCTGGAAATTAAAGCTGTAAGTAAGCTAGCGTCTCTGTACTCAATTAGCTTAAAGTTTTGTTAGAGGTGCCAAAAGGCAGGAGAAATAGAGGGATAAAAATAAGAGAAAGGCCCTAGGACCCTGTCCTCTCTCTTCATTCCAAGTATCAGGTCGGGCTCATTTGTGCAAGTTACTATGATCACAGGACAAGTTTAAGTTTCTATTAAAATTATTGTCTTTCTAGAAATGAGCTATTTTAGATCTAGGCTTTGTCTTTCCTGGGGAATGGAAGTGAGGGGCTGAGAGAAGACATGGTCTCAAATCAGTGGTAGAACGTTCTGAGGACAACCTGGCCAAATTTACTATGGAGATAGGCTTATTCTTCTGAAAGCAAAATTTGCCCCTGTTGTGGTTATTCTATCTAAAATGGCTACTTAGAGTGAGTACTTCATGAGCAGGGGATACGTTCTTCTCCAAGAGGCCTCAGTGCCCTTTACAAAACAATTTACCACCATTTTCCTTGCCTCTCCTGACCCTGATTAATGTATTCACAAAGTCTTAACTGAGCACCGAGCCAGGTAATATTATGGGAAATACAGAGATTTAAAAGTGTAGACTCTTCAAACTTTCACTTTTTGCAAATAACATGATACTGTATATGGAAAACCCAAAATATTCCACCAAAAAACTGCTAGAACTGATCCATGAATTCATCAAAGTCGCAGGATATAAAATCAATGCACAGAATCAGTTGCATTTCTATACTCAAATAATGAAGCAACAGAAAGAGAAATCGAGGAATCGATCCCATTTACAATTGCACCAAAAACCATAAAATAAGTAGGAATAAATCTAATCAAAGAGGTGAAAAATCTATACATTGAAAACTATAGAAAGCTTATGAAAGAAATTGAAGAAGAAACCAAAAAAAAAAAAAAAAAAAAAAAGGAAAAATACTCCATGCTCCTGGATAGGAAGAATAAATATTGTTAAAATGTCAATATTACCCAAAGCAATCTACATGTTCAATGCAATCCCTATCAAAATAACACAAGCATTCTTGACAGGACTAGAACAAACAATCCTAAAATTTGTATGGTACCAGAAAAGACCCCAAATAGCCAAAGCAATCTTGAAAAAGAAAACGAAAGTGGGAGGCATCACTATCCCGGACTTCGAGATGTATTACAGAGCTGTAATCATCAAGACAGTATGGTACTGGCACAAGAACAGACACTCAGATCAGTGCAACACAATAGAGAACCCAGAAATGGACCCACAAATGTATCGCCAACTAATCTTTGACAAAGCAGGAAAGAATATCCAATGGAATAAAGACAGTCTCTTCAGCAAGTGGTGCTGGGAAAACTGGACAGCGACATGCAGAAAAATGAACCTGGAACACTTTCTTACACCATACACAAAAATAAACTCAAAATGGATGAAATACTTAAATGTAAGACAGGAAGCCATCAAAATCCTCGAGGAGAAAGCAAGCGAAAACCTCTTTGATCTTGGCCACAGCAACTTCTTACTCAACACGTCTCCAGAGGCAAGGGAAACCAAAGCAAAATTGAACTATTGGGACCTCATCAAAATAAAAAGCTTCTGCACAGCGAAGGAAACAATCAGCAAAACTAAAAGGCAACCGACAGAATGGGAGAAGATACTTGCACATGACATATCAGATAAAGGGTTAGTATCCAAAAATCTATAAAGAACTTACCAAACTCAACACCCAAAAAACAAATAATCCAGTGAAGAAATGGGCAAAAGACATGAATAGACACTTCTCCAAAGAAGACATCCAGATGGCCAACCGACACATGAAAAAATGATCAACGTTGTTCATCATCTGGGAAATACAAATCAAAACCACATTGAGAGACCACCTCACACCTGTCAGAATGGCTAACATTAACAACTCAGGCAACAACAGATGTTGGCGAGGATGCGAAGAAAGAGGATCTCTTTTGCACTGCTGGTAGGAATGCAAGCTGGTGCAGCCACTCTGGAAAGCAGTAGGGAGGTTCCTCAAAAAATTAAAACTAAAACTACCCTATGAACCAGCAATTGCGCTACTAGGTATTTATCCAAGGGATACAGGTGTACTGTTTTGAAGGGACACATGCATCCCAATGTTTATAGCAGAACTATCGACAATAGCCAAAGTATGGAAAGAGCCCAAATGTCCATCAATGGATGAGTGGATAAAGAAGATGTGGTATATATATGTATATAATGGAGTATTACTTGGCAATCAAAAAAATGAAATCTTGGGGTGCCTAGGTTGCTCAGTTGGTTAAGCATCCAACTTTGGCTCAGATCGTGATGTCGCAGTTTGTGAGCTCGAGTCCTGCATCATCAGGCTCTGTGCTGACAGCTTGGAGCCTGGAGCCATCTTCGGATTCTGTGTCTCCCTCTCTCTCTGCCCTTCCCCCGCTTGCACTCTGTCTCTCTCCCTCAAAATAAACAAATGTTAATAAAAACATTAAAAAAGAAAGAATGAAATCTTGCCATTTGCAACTACGTGGATGGAACTAGAGGGTATGAAATGAAGTGATATTAGTCAGTCAGAGAAAGACAAATATCATATGACTTCACTCATATGAGGACTTTAAGATGCAAAACAGATGAACATAAGGGAAGAGAAGCCAAAATAATATAAAAACAAGGAGGGGAACAAAACATAAGAGACTCAAATATAGAGAACAGAGGGTTGCTGGAGGGGTTGTTGGAGGGGGGATGGGCTAAATGGATAAGGGGCTCAAGGTATCTACTCCTGAAATCATTGTTGCACCATGTGCTAACTAACTTGGATGGAAATTATAAAAAATAAATAAATTATAGATAATAAATAAATAAAACTAAAAAAATTTTAGACTCTTAAGCCCTTTCTGATCTAGAGGGAGAAAAGACTAAAGTGAATAAAAAATAGGTTCCACACAAAGCAGATGTATTCCAAGAACAAAATGAGTGGTACTGATAGTTCATATTATAGTTCCGAGACGGGAAAGATTCTGTGGTCACAAAAGTTTTCAAGACTAAAGTCTTAAAGGATGGGTAACATTTAGAGTGGTAGAAGAAGGGAGGCAGGCAAGGGCAGCCCAGGCAAAACTCAAGATATACAGTATGGCTATGATGATATACTATGTAAACTGCTTTTAGGTAAAGTAGAGGGAGGGTAGTGAGAAATGAAGCTGGACCAGACATAGGCACACAGGAATGGTTTGATCTAACTAAAGAGCTGGGACTTTAATCAGGAAGCAATGGCAGCTGTTTGGTATTTACAGCCTTGACTGCACTGTCACTTCTATACGTTCCAGCTCCTCTACTGGATTCTAAGCTACTTCAAGATGAGAATGGTATCCTATATTTTTATAACTCCAGAGTGCTTGGCAGTGTAAATGAAGGGCCCTGAGATAATGCGGTGGAGTTGGCAGTTGGTTTATGAACTGAATTCCTGATTTTGTTTATATGTTAAATCAGGTGTATGAGACGAAAAAGGTCACACTATCCACTTGAAAATTCAAGATAAGTAAAAAACAAGGGGCGCCTGGGTGGCGCAGTCGGTTAAGCGTCCGACTTCAGCCAGGTCACGATCTCACGGTCCGTGAGTTCGAGCCCCGCGTCAGGCTCTGGGCTTATGGCTCAGAGCCTGGAGCCTGTTTCAGATTCTGTGTCTCCCTCTCTCTCTCCCCCTCCCCCGTTCATGCTCTGTCTCTCTCTGTCCCAAAAATAAATAAACGTTGAAAAAAAAAAAACAACTGAAAACTTGAGATGAACTTGAGTGAGAGAGAGAGAGGTCCTCTGGCTTTTATGAAATCAAGGCCTCTTTAAGGAATGGCAAGTGTCCTTGAGGAATTCAAGTTTTGCTCTCAAGGCCCTAACTAAAGGTAATAAGAGAGGTCTTATGACTTGTTCTCCTTAAGTGCTTGTAAACTGTTATGCAAAGTTATTGTAGGGCAAATAGCCTCCCTGCAACCTCTAAAATTATATTTTGTACAGTCTCTAACTTACAAATGTTTGATTCACAAATGGCACTTTCAGGCACCTGGGTGGCTCAGTCAGATGAGCATCCGATTCTTGATTTTGGCTCAGGTCATGATCTTGCTGTCATGGAATTGAGCCCCATGTTGGGCTTCATGCTGAGTGGAGCCTTCTTGGGATTCTCTCTCTACCTCTCTCTCTGCCCCTCCCCCACTAGCGCATATGTGTGCACATGTACACGTGTGTGCTCTCACTCTCAAAATAAATAAATAAACGTTAAAAAACAAAACAAAAAACAAATTGCACTTTCATGCAAACATCTACTGCCATCTCTGCCCTTCCCCACCCGTACTTACTTCCCTGTTCTCCAAGGCCTCTGATAGCACTGCAGTTGAGCCACTGAGAAGAAAATAAAATAAATGTTCAGAAAATCTGTAGGAGGAAGAAACAAAGCTGAAATAAATAGGAACAGCTTAGGGGACATAAAGAAGGTAGAAGTAAGCTCCCAAATAGGTCTTGCCCTTTTCCCCAAAATATCTTTCATCAATGGCCTGAATTATTCTCATGAATTTGTTATACTGCCTGAAAATAAACTATATGGAATCACATTTAGATTAATAAGCACCTTCTTTCTATGTATACAAATACCTCTAGGAGAGTTAGAGAAGCTACTAGACTTTTACTTATTAGTATTGCTGTGCCAAATAATGACCCATTACCTACAGGCTAATAATTAGCTTACTTTGCCTCATGGCACATGAATATTAGGATACCTGGAACTGGGAGTTTGGGTTATGGTAGAGAGGGTAGGTCACTCTGTGAGGCCTAGCAGACTTTAGTGGTATGGTAGGCAGAAATTTAAGATGGCCTCCTAAGATTCCTGGGTTCCTTGTGTACACACACCTTCTCCCAGTTATTTGATCAAACACTGATCTAGTACTGCTGTGAATGGATTTTGCAGATGAAACTAAAGTCCTAAATTGCTTGACCATAAAATAGAGAGATTATGTGAGTGGGCCTGATGTAGCCAGTGAGATCTTTCTTTAAGAGTAGAAAGTTTTCTCCAACTAGTGACAGAACAGGAAGCCAGAAACTTGAAGTACTAGTGGCATTTGATGCATAAGACGTTTTTGTTGTTGGTTTGAAAATAGAGGAGGATAAGTGAAAAGAAATGTGAGCAGCCTCTTGGAGTGGAGAGTGAGTAGCCCCTGATTGACAGCTTGAAGGAAAATAGGGACCTCAGTTGTTTCCTTAACAACCTGACTGCACATGGAAGAAGACCCTGAGGCCCAGATGAGAACTGTAGCCCTGGGCAATAACCTTTATTTTAACCTTGTGAGGCCTGAGCAGAGGATTCAGCTAAGCTATACCAGACCCCTAATCCATGGGAACTGTGAGATAATAAACGGCTGCTACCTTAAGCCACTAGGTTTATGTTATTTTGTTATGTTAGCAATAGAAACTGGTACAAATGTGATCTCCCTAGGATTAATCTGAGGATTTTGGCACCCAAGACTCTGGAAAGAGGAGCTCTATAAAGCAAGGGGCTACAAAAAACAAACTTACCTATTTGAATATTTTGCTGATGGACTGGCTTTCTGTTCAAGAAAGGGAAGCTAACTCACTTCCTTCCTCCCTCTATACTCCATACCATAAGCATGACCTTCTTCTTCTAAGACCCAAGGCTCAGATCAGTCCTGTTATCGCTATGGTTCAGTTCTACAAAAGTTAAACAGATTTTTACGGTCTGGCCAGAGAACTTAATTACTATGTATAATGTTGTTTCTATGGGAAAATACACTCTTCTTTTTAAAGTTTATTTATTTTTTGAGACAGAGAGAGAGAGAGAGAGCACATGCGCATGCATGCACATGCAAGCAGGAGAGGGGCAGAGAGAAAGGGAGAGAAAGAGAATCCCAAGGGGACTCCACATTGTTAGCAGAGCTGAACACAGGGCTTGAACTCACAAACCGTGAGATCATGACCTGAGCTGAAATCAAGAATCAGACGCTTAACCGACTGAGCCACTCAGTCACCCTGGGAAAATGCATTCTCAGTTCCCAAGAACTTAAAATCAAGTTTTTGGAACAAAACCCACTCATTCTAAAAATGGACTGTACTCATTTTAATAGAATATAAAGCTGTAAGCCAAGGGGGTATATATATCTGTAGAGCACAAAGCACCTGAGAGCTGGTATTTGGGAGTGTGAAGGGGAGAGGAGGAATCAGTCTTTTAGCAAGGCCATATATAGTGTAGCGTATCATGGATCTAGACCCTAGTTGCCTGTGTTTAAATTCTAGCTCTGCCACTTGCCAGTTGTGTGACTTTAGTCAAGTTGCTTAATTTCTCAGTGCCTCCTGTTCTCCATGTAAATAATGGGATAAAAGTACCATCTCATAGGGTTTCTGAACAAATAAAAGAGCAGATATATGTAAAGCTCTTAGACTAATATCCAGCACACAACATAAGTGTTAGTTATTACTATTATAAATCCTCAGAAACTTTTTTATAGTCTCTTTTGCTTCAGCTTCTTTAGACATACCAGTTAATTTAAATCAGTTCAGGGCTGCCTGGCTGGCTTAGTTGGTGGAGCATGCAACTCTTGATCTCAGTGTTGTAAGTTTGAGCCCCACGTCGGGTGTAGAGATTACTTAAAAACAAAATCTTGGAATAAAAATATCTAAATCAGTTCATCTCTTAAGCTTTAGTTATTTTAGCATACAGGAATTTACAGTCTTGGAATATTAGGACCATCTTTAAACCATTCCACCTAAGGCCAAGTTATGATGTTCCTTTTATGTAAACCAAATACTATCTACCTCAGTAGATAAGGCCAAGTTATGATGTTCCTTTTATGTAAACCAAATACTATCTACCTCAGTAGAGGCCTTATGTCTTTCTGTGTGGCCATCAATGAAGAGCAATTCTTGTTTGTTTGTTTACTCGTTTTAAGTAGAAGAGTGTAAAAGTGAGGAGACCAAACCTGGAGATGATTTTTAAGACCTCAGTCTTTAGGGTATACCTAGAATCTAAGTTTAAAGTGTGACAGAGAGAGACAGAGCATGAGTGGGGAAGGGGCAGAGAGACAGAGGGAGACACAGCACCCAAAGCAGGCTCCAGTCTCCCAGCTGTCAGCACAGAGCCCCATGCAGGGCTCAAACCCACGAACCACGAGATCATGACCTGAGCCAAAGTCCAGCGCTTAAACGACTGAGCCACCCAGGCGCCCCTCCTTTGTCCCTTTCAAGTGTTGGCTGTGGTTTTGGAAATATACAGGAAAGCAGATTTTGAGGGGTGTGAGGGAGGACAGAAAATTAAACCCATCCCGTTGTACCTACCTCTTATTGCTCCAGCACTGTATGCCAAGGAGAATAGGCAAGCCCCTGTGTGTGAGAGGTTGCAGGATATAGTGAAAAGATTATGAAACCTGAATTCTAGTCCTAACCACCATTTAGTATAATCTCAGTTTCTCATTGGTAAGATGAGAATAGCAATCTCTGCTCTAAAAGGTGAAATGATTGTTGCGAACATCCAATGAAATCATGGGTGTGAACATGCTTGTAAACTGTAAAGCACTGTGCAAACCTCAACACTTCCCCTCCTCTGTGCACTATCTCATGTGTTTATTACAATACTTGGCACTATACAAAATCAAGTCTTTACTGGTCTATCTCACCTACCAGTTATGAAGTCAGTGAAGGTATGGAACTTGTCGGTCCTTTTCACTGCTATACCCCAGTATCTAGTCCAGAGCCTGACACAAAGTAGGTAGGTATTCAATAAATATTAAATTGATCATAAGAAATTCATATTTAAAAAGGCAGAGTTTGCTTTTATGGCCCTCAATATTTTTTTCCCCGGGCTTCAGTTTCCTTCAGTGCTCCTTCAATTTCAGAGCCCTGCTGTCTGGCACTTTCCTATTTAAAAATGCTCTGGGGAAAATAACCAATAACTTTACTTACAAGATGTCAATCACTGGGATATTTTCCTCTTCCTCTTGAGGAATTAGCATTCTATTTTATTTTATTTTTATCTAAAATTTTTTTAATGTTTATTTTTGTGAGAGAGAGAGAGACAGAGTGCAAGTAAGGGAGGAGCAGAGAGCTCTGAGCTGTCAACACAGAGCTCGACACAGGGCTCAAACTCACAAACTGCAAGATCATGACCTGAGCCAAAGTTGGACGCTTGACTGAGACACCCAGGCACCCCACATTCTTTTCAAAAAATATTTTATTTTTGGGGAGCTGGGTGACTCAGTTGGTTTAGCATCCAACTCTCAACTTTGGCTCAGGTCATGATCTCATGGTTTGTGGGTTCAAGCCCCACATAGGTCTCTGCACTGTTAGTGTGGAGCCTGCTTGGGATTCTCTCTCTCTGTTCTCTACCGCTCTCTCCATCTCTCTCTCTCTCTCTCTCTCTCTCTCAAAATAATTAAATAAATAAACTTTAAAAATAAAATGAAATTTAAAATGAAATAAATATTTTATTTTTAAGTAATCTCTACACCTAACATGGGGCTCAAAAACAACCCCGAGATCAAGAGTCGTATGCTCCACCAACTGAGCCAACCAGGTGCCCCAAGGAATTAGCATTCTAATAGGAGTGAAGAACTTAGGCTAATCTCTAATGGTTGGAACTTCAGGCAATTGTGGGCAATATATGAGTTTATGCAAGAAGCCTTTGGGAGTCACTGATTTCCAGAGCCAGGTAGGGTGAAATATGGCACTTACCTTGAATGCAAAATTTAAGAGAGCATCAAAATGCCAGTAATCAAGATCATAATATTTTAATATTTGTTTGCTTTTTTAGTTTTATTGAGATACAATTTACATATCATAAGTCTTACTCATTTAAAGTGCACAATACAGAGGTGCCTGGCTGGCTCAGTTGGTAGAGCATGTGACTCTTGATCTCAGGCAGGGTTATAAGTCCAAGCTCCATGTTGGGTGTAGAGTTTACTTTAAATAAATAAATAAATAAATAAATAAATAAATAAATAAATTCATTAAAAAATAAAGTGCACAATACAATAGTGTTTATTATATTTACAGAGCCATGCAGCCATCACCATAATTTACTTTTAGTACATTTTCATTGCCCCAAAAGGAAACCTTGTACCCACTGAGTCGGTTCCCATTCCCCTTAAGCCCTAACCTCTCTCCTCCCAGTCCTAAGTAACCACAAATATTTTGTGTCTCTATAGGTTGGTCTATTCTAGACATTTCATGTAAGTGAAATTATAAAATATGTGGTGTTTTGTGATTAGCTTCTTTAACAAATTAAAGTATGCTTTCAAAATTCATCTATTGTGTAGGTGTACATTGTGTTTATCCATTCATTAGTTGATGGACATTTGACTTATCTCCACTTTTTTTTAAGTTTATTTATTTATTTTGAGAGGGACAGAGACAGTGTGAGTGGGGCAGGGTCAGAGAGACAGGAAGAGAGACAGAATCCCAAGCAGGCTCCGTGCCGTCAGCACAGAACCCAATGTGGAGCTTGAACCCACAAAGCTGTGAGATCATGACCTGAGCTGAAACCAAGAGTTGGATACTTAACTGAACTCCCCAAGAGCTCCCCCCCCACCCTTTTCGACTATTATGAATAATGCTGTTATGAACAAGTTGTTGTGTGGACATGTTTTGTGTGGACACGTGTGGGCATACGTAGGAGAACTGTTGGGTCATATGTTAACTCTAGGTTTAACTTTTTGAGGAACTGCCAAACTATCCCTCATTTTACATTCCCACCAGAAAAAATATATATGAGGGTTTCGATTTCTTCACATTTTTGCCAATGCTCATTTTCATTTTGGTTACAGTCATTCTAGTAGGCATGAACACAGAAATGCAATATTTTTTTAATTAAAATTAATGCAAAAGTCGATGATGAACAAAATATTGAAATTTTTAATAAAGATGGAACCTGTAGTGCTGTGCTGAGCCATATTAGAGCCTGAGAGGTAAAAGGAAATATGTGTGTTCCCATACACTTGTTTCTATTTCTTTTGAATGGCCATGAAAAAAAACAACTTTGAAAGTACACTTTATGAATGTGAAAAGATATGAATATTCTTCCTGAATTTGAAAATAAATTAAACAGAAAAGTAAATAAATTGGAAATTTACAAATCAACAGATAAGAGCATCAGTTATTATGGAGAAAGCACATATCAAATAGAAATTAAGGAAATTATACATGTCATTATACATAATGAATCATACATAATTTCACATTTGAAATGGAGATATAAAAAATTAAATGAAGTACCCTAACAATTTTAATTTCTTTTTTAAATTTTATTTTTTAATTTACATCCAAATTAGCATATAGTTCAACAATGATTTCAAGAGTAGATTCCTTAATGCCCCTTACCCATTTAGACCATTCCCTCTCCCACAACCCCTCCAGTAACCTTCTGTTTGTTCTCCATATTTAAGAGTCTCTTATGTTTTGTCCCTCTCCCTGTTTTTATATTATTGTTTCTCTTCCCTTATGTTCATCTGTTTTGTCTCTTAAAGTCCTCATATGAGTGAAGTCATATGTTATTTGTCTTTCTCTGACTGACTAATTTTGCTTAGCATAATACTCTCCACTTCCATCCATGTAGCTGCAAATGGCAAGACTTCATTCTTTTTGATTGCCAAGTAATACTCCATTGTGTATATATATACCACATCTTCTTTATCCATTCATCCATCAATGGACATGTGGGTTTTTTCCATACTTTGGCTATTGTTGATAGTACTGTTATAAACAACAGATGTTGGCAAGCATACGAAGAAAGAGGATCTCTTTTGCATTGTTGGTGGGAATGCAAGCTGGTTCAGCCACTCTGGAAAACAGTATGGAGGTTCCTCAAAAAATTAAAACTAGAACTACCCTATGACCCAGAAATTGCACTACTAGGTATTTATCCAAGGGATACAGGTGTGTTGTTTCAAAGGGACATATGCACCTCAATGTTTATAGCAGCACTATCTGAAATAGTTTTAAGGTGCTTGCAAAATTAGAACAACATAAACTATCAACAATTGACTCAAGAAGAAATAAAACATTTGAATATAACTTTAAAAGTGAAAAGAAGAATTAGTAATCCAAGAAAAGCCCATAAAAAGAAGCTTAGGCCCAGATGGCTTCACTGGTTAATTCTACCAAATATTTAGAGAAGAATTAATAGTCCTTTACAAACTCTTCCAAAAAATAGAAGAGGAGGGAACAATTTCTGACTCATTCTCTAAGACCAGAATTACCCTGATACCAAAACCAGAGAAAGACATTAGAAAACTACAGACCAATATCTCTTATGAATATAAACACAAAAATCTCCAGCAAAATACTACTGAATAGAACCTGGAAACAGATAAAGGGGATCATATGTCATGAAAAAGTGGAATTTATTGTAGAAATATTAGATTGGTTCAACATATAAAAATCAATCACCCTATTAATAGAATAAAGTGCAAAAACCACATGATCATCTCAGTAGATGTATGAAAAAACCTTCAACAAAATCCAAATCTTTCCATGGAAAAAAAAAAACGCAACAAAGTAGGAATAGAAGGGAACTTACACAAACTGAAAAAGAGCATCTTTGGTAGACTAGATAATGGCACCTGTCCTAATCCCTTGAAAGTGTGAGCATGTTACACGGTAAAATAGACTCCACAAAATGTGATTAAGATGTTGAGATGCGGAAATTATGCTGGATTATTTGGGTGGGCCCAATGTAATCACAAGTTTCCTTATAAGAAGGAGGCAGGGGATCAGAGTCAAAGAGAGAAGGTGAGAGATTATAGATGATGCTACACTGCTGGATTTGGAGATGGAGGAAGGGTCCCATGAGCCCAGGGTCCCATACAGCCTCTAGAAGCAAGAAAATGCAAAGAAATAGATTCTTCCCTAGAGCCTCCAGAAGGAACAAAGACCTGGTGACATCTTAATTTTAACTAAGTGCAACTGATTTCATATTTCTGACCTCAGGGAATGTTGAGAATAACTTTGTGTTACTTTCAGTCACTAACTTTGCAGTAACTTATTATAGTGGCAACGGGAAGCTAATACAGCACCAAAAAAATCCTTTCTTTTTTAGATTAGGAATAAACCAAGGATGTTTTCTCTCACCACTTCTGTTAAGCCTTGTAGTAGAGATTCTGTCCAGGGCAATTAGGCAAGTAAAAGAGATAAAATGCAGCCATATTAAGAAAGAAGTAAAACTATATCTACTTTCAAATGACATAATCTTGTACATAGACAATCCTAACAAATCCATAAAAAATACTAGAAGTAGAACTGATAAACCATTTTGATAAGGTTGTACAACAAAACCAATATACAACAATCAGTTGTATTTTCACACATTTGCATAAATAATCTGAAAATGAAATTAAGAAAACAATTTTATTTAAAATAGTATCAAAAACACTTAAGAATAGGCAATAGGTTTGCAGCCAAAACACAAGTGTCATGAAAACCACTGCTAAACCTAAACTAAAATGGGAAAGGAAAAGATTCATATCACCATCATCATCATTGGACATGTAGATTCAGGCAAGTCTACCACCACTGGTCATCTGATCTACAAGTGTGGTGGGATCGACAAAAGATCTATTGAAAAATTTTAAGAAGGAGGCTGCTGAGATGGGAAAGGGCTCCTTCAAGTATGTCTGGGTGTTGGATAAAATGAAAGATGAAAGTGAATGTGGTATCACCATTGATATCTCCCTGTTGAAATTCAAGACCAGCAAGTATTATGTGACCATCATTGATGCCCCAGGACACAAAAGCTTTATGAAAAACATGATTACAGGGGCACCTGAGTGGCTCAGTTGGTTAAGCATCTGACTTCAGCTTAGGTCATGATCTTGCGGTTCACGAGTTCAAGCCCCACGTAGGGCTCTGTGCTGACAGCTCAGAGCCTGGAGCCTGCTTCCGATTCTGTCTTCCTCCCTCTGTGCTCCTCCCCCACTCATGCTCTGTCTCTGTCTCTGTCTCTCTCTCAAATATAAATTTAAAAAAACATTAAAAAAAACATGATTACAGACACATCTCAAGCTGACTGTGCTGTCCTGATTGTTCCTGCTGGTGTTGGTAAATTTGAAGCAGGTATCTCCAAGAATGGGCAGCCTGTGAATATTACCTTCTGGCTTACAACTTGTTGGTGGTAACAAAGTGGATTCCACTGAGCCACCCTATGGCCAGGAGAGATATGAGGAAATCGTTAAGTCAGCACCTATATTAAGAAAATTGGCTACAACTCCGACACAGTAGCATTTGTGCCAATTTCTGGCTGGAATGGTGACAACATGCTGTAACCAAGTGCTAACGTGCTTTGGTTCAAGGGATGGAAAGTCACCCATAAAATGGCAATGCCAGTGGAACCACACTGTTTGAAGCTCAGGATTGCATTCTGCTACCAACTCGTCCAACTAACAAGCCCTTGCATCTACCCCTTTAGGATACCTACAAAATTGGTTGTATTGCTACTGTCCCTGTGGGCCAAGCGGAGACTGGCATTGTTAAGCCTGGCATGGTGGTCACCTTTGCTTTAGTCAATGTTACAACTGAAGTAAAGTCTGTTGAAATGCACCACAAAGCTTTGAGTGAGGCTCTACCTGGGGACAACGTGGGCTTCAATGTCTAGAATGTATCTGTCAGGGCACCTGGGTGGTTCAGTTGGTTAAGCATCTGACTCTTGGTTTCAGCTTAGGTCATGATCTTGCAGTTTCATGGGTTCGAGCCCCACATCAGGCTCTGTGCTGTCAGCACAGAGCCTGCTTGGGATTCTCTCTTTACTTCTCTCTCTGACCCTCCCCGACTCGTGCTGTCTGTGTCTCTCTCAAAATAAATAAGTCAACTTTAAAAAAAAAGAAAAAGAATGTATCTGTCAAAGATGTCTGTCATGGCAATGTGGCTGCTGACAGCAAAAATGACACATCAATGGAAGCAGCTGGCTTCACAACTCAGGTGATTATCCTGAACCATCCAGGCCAAATCAGTGCTAGATATGCACCTGTGCTGGATTGTCACACAGGTCACATTGCTTGTAAGTTTGCTAAGCTGAAGGAGAAGATTGATTATCGTTCTGGAAAAAAAGGTGGAAGATGGTCCTAAGTTCTTGAAATCTGGTGATGCTGCCATCATTGATATGGTTCCTGGCAAGCCTATGTGTGTTGAGAGCTTCTTTGAGTATCCTCCTCTGGGTCGTTTTGCTGTTCGTGACATGAGACAGATGGTTGCTATGGCTGTCACCAAAGCAGTGGACAAGAAGGCAGCTGGAGCTGGCAAGGTCACCAAGTCTTCCCAGAAAGTTCAGAAGGCTAAATGAATATTATCCCCCGAACCTGCCATTCCAGTCTTTATCAGTGGTGAAAGAATGGTCTCAGAATTGCTTGTGTCAATTGGCCATTTAAGTTTAATAGTAAAAGACTGGGTAATTATAACAATGCATTGTAAAACCTTCAGAAGGAGAATATTTTGTGGATCATTTGTGTGTGTGTGTGTGTGTGTGTGTGTGTGTGTGTGTGTGTGTGTGGCAGTTTTAAGTTATTAGTTTTTAAAATCAGTACTTTTTAATGGAAACAACTTGACCAAAAATCTGTCACAAAATTTTGAAACCCATTAAAACAAAAGTTTAATGAGAAAAAAAAAACACTTGGGAATAAATTTAACAAAAAAGTACAAAACTTGTACATAGAAAAAAGTACAAAATGTCATTGACAGAAATTTAAGAGGACCTAAATATGTGGGAAAACATTCAATGCTCATGGATTAGAAGACTTAATATTGTTTAGATATCAATACTCCCCCAAATTTTGAACACATTTAACACAATCCCTATAAAAATCCCAGCTTGGGGGCGCCTGGGTGGCGCAGTCGGTTAAGCGTCCGACTTCAGCCAGGTCACGATCGCGCTGTCCGTGAGTTCGAGCCCCGCGTCAGGCTCTGGGCTGATGGCTCAGAGCCTGGAGCCTGTTTCCGATTCTGTGTCGCCCTCTCTCTCTGGCCCTCCCTCGTTCATGCTCTGTCTCTCTCTGTCCCCAAAAAAATAAATAAACGTTGAAAAAAAAATTAAAAAAAAATCCCAGCTTGATTATTTCAAAAATTGCCAAGCTGATCCTAAAATTAATATGAAACTACAGGGGCACCTGAGTGGCTCAGTTGGTTAAGCGTCTGAGTCCAGCTCAGGTCATGATCTCATGGTCTGGGGGTTTGAGCCCCACGTCGGGCTCTGTGCTGACAGCTTGGAGCCTGGAGCCTGCTTTGGATTCTGTGTCTCCCTCTCTCTCTGCCCCTCCCCTGCTCATGCTCTGTCTCTGTCCCTCCCTCTCAAAAAATAAACATTAAAAAAAAAAAAAGAAACTACAAAGGACCAGAATAGCTAAAAATGATCTAGAAAAAGGAACAAAGTTGTAGCATTCGCACCTCTTGATTCTAAAACTCACTTCAAAGCTACAGTAAGGTTTGTGGTAGAGACATAACATTAGAAATATAAGTAAATAAAATAGAATTGAGAGTTCAGAAATAAAATCTTCACATTTTATGCTCAATTTTCTACAAAGAAAGACTAGTCTTTTAAACATATGGTGCTGGAACAACTGAATATTTACATGCAAAAGAAAGAAGTTGGATCTCTATCTTCCACAATATACAAAAACTAATTCAATTAAAGATCTAAATGTAAATGTGAAAACTATAAAAGTCTTAGAAGAAAACTTAGGTGTATATCTTCATGCTCCTAGATTAGATAATAGTTTCTTAGATATGACATCAAAAGTCCAAGGAACAAAGAAAAAGCAGACAAATTATACTTAATCAAAATTAAAAACTTTTGTCCTTCAGATGACACACCAAGAAATTGAAAAATCCATAGAATAAGAGAAAATATTTGCAAACAATATGTCTGATAATGAACACATATCCAAAAAATATATATTCTATTATATATATCATCATTTTATATGTATATCTTACTACTCAACAGTAAAAGTCAATAACAGTAAAAGATCAATAACATATCTAAAAATATATATTCCATTATATATCATCATCAAAAGTAAAAGATCAATAACCCAATCAAAAAATGGGCAAAGGATTTGAATAGACATTTCTCCAAAGAAGATACATAAATGGCCAATAAGCACATACAAAGATGCTGGACCTTATTGGCCATCAGGGAAATCCAAATCAAAAGCACAATGGGATGCTACTTCACACCTCCTAGGCTGGCTATAATTAAAATGACAAATGTTACTGAGGATATGGAGAGACTGGCACCCTGATATATTGCCGGTGGTAATGTAAAATGGTACAGTGCCTTGGAAAACAGTTTGCAACTCTTCAAAGGGTTCAACGTTGGGCTACCATATTATCTAGCAGTTCTGGTATATTCCCAAGGAATTAAAAACATGTCCATACAAAAACTTGTTCACAAATGTCCATAGCAACATTATTCATAAGAGCCAAGAAGTGGAAACAATCCAAACATACATATTGGATGAAAAAATATGTTTTATATCCATACAATGGGATATTATTTAATCCTAAAAGGAATGGAAAAGGAATAAAGTACTGATATATGCTATAACATGCATAAACCTTGAAAATGTTATGCTAAGCAAAAAAAAAAAAAAAAAAAAAAAAGGCCAGAAACAGAAGGTCACCTACTGTATGATTTAATTTATATGAAATTTTCAGAAAGGATAAATCCATAAATACAGAAAATAAATTAGAATTTGCCAGGGACTTGTTTGGGGGCTTGAAGAGGGGATGAGTGATAAGGGGTACAGGGTTTCTTTTTGGGGTGACGAAAATGTTCTGAAATTAGTGGTGAGAGTTACACCAGTCTGTGAGTTTACTAACAACTACTGAATCATACTCTTTGAAATGGTAATTTTTATGGTATCTGAATTACATCTCAAAAAAAAAAAAAGAGTTTCGAGGCAGGTCAACTTTACACAGAGAAAGTTGTGTGATTTTACATGTCTCATGATACATCCTTCATTCTAATATAAATGCCCTCAATGGTTCAAAGTACATTTATAGATTTCTCATTGTTCTTCCCATATCCTACATCATTTAGTACAGTGCCTTGCAAAATGTATGACCTTATTAATCATTTTAGGTGTGAAATGTATGTATTCATCTCCTTAAGTCTCCTACTAAAAAACATTACACAACCTTCATATTTTATTTTTTTCCACTCACCCATAAATTTCCTGAGGCTAAGCATCATGGTAGATTCATTCCAATATTCTCTTTCCACACTCAAACATCACTTTTATTCCCACCTTGTACCTAGTATAGTGTCTGATACACAAATACTGCTTATAATTCTTTTAAAACTCCTTTTATTTTCTGCTTCCCAACTTGAACCTAATCTTCTTGAGGACCAATACTGGGTTTAATTCACATTTGTATTCTCTACCCTCCTCTCTTGAATAGCCCTATTCTTTACATGCAAGTTCTGTTTTTTTTTCTCTCTTCCCAGTTTTTATTTAAATTCAAGTTAGTGTAGTATTCACTACACTACACATACAGTGTAGTATTGGTTTCAGGAGTAGAACCCAGTGATTCATCACTTCCATATAACACCCAGTGCTTATCCCAGCAAGTGCCCTCCTTAACGCTCATCACCCATTTAGCCCACCCCTCCCACTTCCCCTCCAGCAGCCCTCAGTTCATTCTCTACAGTTAAGATTCTGTTATGGTTTGCTGCCTCCTGTGTTTTTATCTTATTTTATTTTTTCTTCCCTTCCCCTATGTTCATCTGTTTTGTTTCTTAAAATCCATGGGTCAAATCATATGGTTATTTGTCTTTCTCTGACTTATTTTGCTTAGCATAATACACTCTTGTTCCATCTATGTCATTACAAATGGCAAGATTTCACTCTTTTTGATGGCTGAGTAATATTCCAATACATGTGTGTATACATATACATATATATATATCATATATCATATATCATATTTAAATCACCTTTTCTTTATCCATTCATAATTCAATGGATATTTGGGTTCTTTCCATAATTTGGCTATTGTTGATAGTGCTGCCATTAACATTGGGGTGCATGTGCCCCTTTAAATCAGTATTTTTGTATTCTTTGGATAAATACCTAGTCAGGCAATTGCTGGGTCGTAGGATAGTTCTATTTTTCACTTTTTGAGGAACCTATATACCGTATTCCAGAGTGGCTGCACCAGTTTGCATTCCCACCAACAGTGCAAGAGGGTTCCCCTTTTCTCTGCATCCTCACCAACATCTCATGTTTCCTGAGTTGTTAATTTTAGCCATTCTGACAGGTGTGAGGTGGTATCTCATTGTCATTTTGATTTGTATTTCCCTGCTGATGAATGATGTTGAGCATTTTTTCATGTGTCTGTTAGCCATTTGTATGTCTTCTTTGGTGAAATGCCCATTCATGTCTTCTGCCTATTTTTTAACTGGATTATTTATTTTTTGGGTATTGCATGTGATATGTTCTTTACAGATTTACATGTAAGTTCTCAATGAATGAATAAATTGTGTTATATCTGCTCTCCCGTTTGCCACATCAAATTGTACTTTTTCCCAACTCATGTTTTAAATGAATGTATTCTAGTCTAATTATGCATGCATCTATCATTTGGACTGTCATTATAGGTTCATGACTCATTTATTTGTCTTAAAAATAAATGCAAAGGTAAGAGAAACTCTTGTCCCAGGGATCATTGCCTGTGCAATTATCTTTGTAAATTCTCTGAGAGTTTGCCAAATATGGCTGAATGATGGTGAAATCCCAACTCTTCTTTTGTCTCTTTGGATTTTATATTGCAGGAGACAATTTTCTTACTTTTGAAACATTTACAATGAGAGAGGAAAACTGGGCTCTCACAGAGAAGGGAATAGGAACTGACTGGACCAGGAGTCCAGGAAACCAACAGGATCAGCCTCGAAGAGCAGATATTGTAGCTTGGCCATCAAACTCTGTCTCTGGTGTTTTCTGGAGGCACTTTTCTTGGGATCAAGGAAGTTAGACTAGGAGAAATGTG